TCTCAATAAAGATGTTTTAAAAATCAACCTAGGTATACGGTTCATGCAAAACATAAAACTAATCTACCATCAATATACGTAGTATATGGATGACTGAAGCATTATGCTGTACACCAGAAAATGATGCAACATTGTAAACTGACTATACTTCAATTTTAAAAAAGTAAATTAAAAATAAAAACTAATCTGCCATCTATATGCTGTTTGACAAGTTGCTTAATTTCTCCTGGGCTTCAGTTTGCTCTCTTGTAAAATGGAAATTAAAAAAAAAAAAAAAAGAACCACCTACCTTGCAAAGTTTTTATAAGGGCAAAGGCACAATGCCTAACCCCAGAGTAAGCACTCAGAGGAGTTCACACTTACTACCATATACCCACACTGCATAGTTTCATGTAAGCTGTCACTTTCCCCCTAAAAGGGATTTGTTCAAATTTTATCTTATGGTTAATAGTGGGGCGTAGGGTCTTCAACTAATGACATCAGTTTAGTGAGCAAGAGCTTTCAGAATTGAACTGGAATTCACTTTCAAAGCTCATCATTTATGCTTTTCTTTTCAGGTTCTTCAGTCATGAGCTATACCACGTAAAAAAATGCCCGCCCCTCTTCCACTATCATAGTGCCCCAAAAGAAGAAAAGGAAGGAGATTTCTGCACATCTCCCTGTGTGCTAATTGAAGCCCACCGACTTTTCTCATCCAAGCTCTCTTGACCAGCCTGCTGAACTCCAGCGGCCGTAAAGGCGGAGCTGAGTCTGTCTGTCTTTCTGTCTGCAGAGCAGACAACTGGGCCCACTGCCGGGTCCCTCAGTAGCCTCAGGTGAGTCACTTAAGCCCTCTGAGCCTTGGTACCTAGCACGCAGTGAAAGCTCCAGAAACTATCACAGGGACCTACCTCCTGGGGGGCCTCAGGCAAGAGGATGCTCACTGGCCCCAATGCATTCTCTTAGGAGGACAACCACCCTCATTCCCGTGCACCCTGGTCCTCTGCGGCTGCGGCCTGAGCTGGTTCTCCCACCCCAGTTCGGGAGTCGTGGGAGGTATCCATATAGGCCTGGCTCCTAAGCCAAGCCTGAGCCACTGCGGGCTGAGGAAGAGCACCTGAGAGCAGGCTCCTGGCTCTTTATCTTGGATTCACAGCCTCTGGCTCCTGGCAGGCCTCCAGCTAACAGGCACTGGCTTGACTGTGTGCCCAGTGGCCTCACCCAGCCTTGCCCCAGGCTGGGATGAGAACCCCAGGGTAGTTCCCCGTTAGGCTCCGAGCACTGCTGCTGCTCAGAACATCCTCTTCCTCTTGCCCAGATTCTGTGCTTTTTCACCTGCTGGCTCCTAACCCGGGGCTGCCACCCTCCACCCGACTCTGTCCCAGGGTTTCCCCTCCCCTGACTAAGACGGCACTGACTGACCTTTGCATTTGTCCCCTTAAATTTTTCATTCATTCTCCCAGCATCAGTAGGAAGACCAGAGATGTTGAACAGACCTCTTTGGCTAAGTTACAAATGACACAACCATAACACAAATCATTTCAAACTGCACCAACCAACTTCAAGGCTCCAGTGAATATTCAAGACAGTAGAGCTGATGGGTTAAGAGGCACTTAATAAACTGCATCTGCTGAGCAAACGTTGAAAGCTTGAAATAATCTCATAGTTGGCAAAGTTATACAAGCAGCGAACTCCAGCTATTAGCAAGACGGTGGGACTGGGGCTGACTCACACACGCTCAGAAACATGTGCTTCTCCTCTTCATCTGGATAAACATGATTCTTTCTGTGCTGCTGTTCCTTGAGCAAAATAAAATTCTTACAGCTACCAGCGTGCCTACTTCAAGTCTCACTCGTGGGACGGAAGGAATGAAGGAACAGACAGCAAAAACTTACTGACAAACAAAAGCCTTAAGTGAAACCGCCTGGTTTCCTTGCTGGGGTGATAGGAATTTTTTGTTTTTAATTATGCAACCAATACGTGTTCTTTGTAGAAAAACTGGAATGCACATAAAAGAATCTACATTCCCAGGACAATTACAATAATAACAGCAGCAACCAGGGTGAATGGTAGGTACTGCCCCCATTTATGACATGCCTGGGCTGTCAGATCTGTTCTCCGCCTCGTTGTCTGGAATCCTGACATGGGGGCACTTTTACTGAAAGGAACAAAGTGGAAGGATTAAGAATACAGGATTAAAGCAGGGACCAACTGTCTGGGTTGACATCCTGGTTCGACCCCTGCGTAAGCACAGGACTGAACCTCTCCAACCTCAGTTTCCTCATCTGTAAAATGGGAATCACAACAGAATTCACCCCAGGGGATTGGTGTGAGAATTAAATTGAAAACTGCACACAAAACATTTCAGCACAGTGCCTGGCAAAACAGTAAGCATTCAGTGTCACTCTATTTTGACAGGTGATGAAACAATTTGGCAAGGGTCAGTTACGCACCCAGGATCACAAATGGATGAGCATTAGTACTGGCCATTAACCTAACTGCTTCCAAGTCACAGGAGTAGGTAGCTGTTTTGTAATCAACAGAGGACCTCAATAAACAGGAAAGCAACAAAATATTCCCTGCCTTGTATTTTAATGATATCAATTATCAATTTCTTGACTCTGAACCAGTTACATAATTTGCAGGACCTAGAGAAAAATGAAAATGCTAGGGTCCTAATTTTTCTAAAAAAGTTAAGAATTTCAAGATGATAACAGCAGAGCTTTAAACCAAGCACGAGGTACTTCTGCACACAGGGTCCTGTCCAACTGCCCTTGAAGCCAGGCACATCTCCACTCCTTCAATGGCCAGGATTCAGGATCAAAATTGGATTGCGTGGCAATGACAGTCAAGTCTCCATGGTCAAGATGTTCTTTTTGAATACACTTCAGCTACCCCAGCCCAAGAGAAAACAGAATCCTGCGGAATGATCTACAGTGATAACCCCAATAACAAAAGCAAAACCAAATAATTAGCAAAGATGAATGTTTTTTCTTGACCTCCTTAGCAGTCAAAGGCATTAAAAGACCAATTTACTCCAGGACAACCTGCTGCAAAATTTTAATTTTCTAATCGCAAACGTTCTTAATGTTTTTCAAGGTAAGAGGCACAGAGAACTTTTCGATGAACATTTCTGTCACCGTTTGCAGGAGAAAGAGATAATTCATCCGTGCCACACTGTAAGTTACAAACCAAGACTCTGTTCTTCTCAAACAAGTTTTTCTAAAAAGAAAGACTGCACTTCATTTAAACTTCTTTCTTCCCCTCCCATGAACAGGAAGCCTGCTCTTTTCAGAAATCAGTATTGAACATGTGTGTGGTTTAATGACAGTGATGAACCTCTCCATTAAATAGGATTTTGGTTTTGTGACTTTCCTGGTACTGTACCTCAATATTTCGCAAGAAGCTGGGTGGCCCCAATACTGAGGAATGCAGATGCAAAATGCAGCAGACCTAAAAGCAGGACTGTCCGGTCATTTTTAAAGTGTCCAAGGTGAGACTTAAAACTGAGAGCAAAATGATGGAGGATTCCCTCTGAGCCACGTCTAGTTAGAGAACGGGAATTAAATCTTATGGTACACCGAGATGCCTAACGGTGAATCATTTACTCTGGGGGCATGATCTAATTAAGAGCAATGATTCTTACAACGAAAGCTTATTCTGTCTGGACAGAGAATTTAAAATGAAAAAAGGGCGACTTCTGACTTCCAGTGGGCGCTCAACAGACTTAAAGAAGGCAGGGTACAAGAACATGCTTAGCAGTAACTGTTCATCAAATGGGGTGGTGTTGACCTTGCTCAGTGTTTGCCAACCAAAAGAGTACCAATGCTCCTTTTCCTCTAAAATTTCTTGACAATGACAGCATCGAAGTTGAGCCATTCAAAACCCAGAACTTTAGCCCAGTGGATAAAATGAAGTCAAGAACAATTATACCAAATAATTACAAATCCTTATCCTAACTGCTAAGTCTGTTAGCTTGTAACTTGAGGGTACCAATACCTCCCAGAACTGCTGGGATACCTTTAAGACAGAGTTTCTCAAGCAAAAATGCTACTGATATTTTGGGACAGATAAATCTTAGTTGGGGAGAAAGGGTGTCATACACTTGTGCATTATAGAATACTGAACAGCATCCCTGGCCTCTACCCACTAGATTCCAGTGGCACCCACTCCCCACTTGTAATGACGAAAAATGTCTCCATGAATTACCAGATGTGTGGGATGGGGGAATGAAGTCAGCTCCAACTGAAAACCATTGCTCCTAACAATGGCAATAAATAAAAGACAAGCAATCAAAGCACTTTAGAATACCAAGTGATTTTAAGGATGCTGTGCACCAGTGATTCTCAAACTTTAGTATATATCAGCCTCCCTGGGGAGCTTGCTAAAATGCTGATTCCTGGGCCTCCCCCAGACCTATGGATAATTGTCAAGCACCAGGTTTGCCTACATCGGTATCAACACTCCCATTCTACAAATCAGTGGATGTGGGCCAGCGAGGGAAAATGCCTTGCCCAAGGTCACAGGGCAGGTTAGAACCTGGACTTCAAACCCAACCAAGCCCTTCCTTATAAAAAGGATGGGTGGGGTGAGAGGTGTGTGTGGCTCATACATTTCGGGAAGAGGCAGGCCTAAATGGTTAAGATCCCGCGCGAGGGAGTCCGCGGGCCAGAGTTAAAATCCCGGCTTGGTATTTATTAGGTGAGCGTCCTTGTGTCAGGCACATAATCTCTGAGAGCCTCAGTTTCCTTCTCTGTCAAATGTAATAATAGTACCCACCTCCCAGGGTTGTTGGAAAGGCTAAGAGAGATAATGTACAGAAAACCCTCGGCACAGGGCCTGGCACACATTAAGCACTCAACACATGTCCTGTTATTGTTATTATTATTGTCCGACGACTGCAGAATGGAAGAGGTCTGCGCGGCCCCGAGGACAGAGGGCTGGAGATGGGCTCAGCGAGGCGATACGACCCCCGACTCCCCCCTCCTCTCGCCGGGGCGGACCCCCGCCCTGCCCCTCACCTGGCCCCGCAGCTCCTTCTCCAGCTGCCGGTAGTCGTTGTTCCAGACCAGGAGGTGTAAGGGGAAGTGGCCGCTGGCGTCGCGGGCCGAAGACATGGCGAGGAGGCCGCAGCCGGGCCCGCACCGCCCGCTTGCCAAGCCTCGGCCCCGGC